AACCCAAGTCCTTCCCAGCCTGATGAAGATGGAGCTGAGCAGACCGGACAGGAGATTGTGAGCCCAGAGGCCTACATCAAACACCCGCTCCAGAACAGGTAGAGACCGCAGGTTTATGTAAAGCGACCCAAAGTTTTCCTTCAAGCAAGTCATGACACTTTTGGTAACACCTCAGGACGTTTATTTGATGAGCTGTTCTACAGCGTTATTTAAATTAACTTTAATTTCAGTGGTTACCAGTACATAAAACCTGCATGTTTATATACTAAAAAAAGAAAAAACCTAGAAAACCTGTTGAATGCCCCCACAAATATTTCTGAAAACGTCTTAAAAACTCCCACAGTCTCAAAATTTCTTTATCTCTCCAGATAAAAACCAAAGATCAGAATTACTCGTTTAAATTATTTTATGCCAACACTTGTTATCACATTATTGAATAGTAATTAATAGTATGGCTTGTCTGTTAAGGCCCAAATAATATATATATATATATATATATATAATTGTTGCCTCACTTCCTATTACCAAATCGTGTCCAGTGTGTGTGTGAGTCATCTGTGTGATGTGTTTATAGGCCTGTAAATCAGTACTGCTTATCAGCTGAAGTCAAAAAGTCTGATAGTTTGTTCGCCTCCTTGCTTTGCATAACTGTTTGTTGTTATACAAAGACTGTTATTAAAGTTTAAAATTGTATAATAAAGCCTTAATTACTATTTTTAGAATAGCAATTAGGCAGGCTTTGCTTTAATTCAACAGAATTAAAGTAATTTTTGTCTAAGTGGCTTGAAAATTGTGCTTTGGAGGCAAAACAAAACAAAAGCATTTCAGTTGCCATTCACATAGGACATGCCAGCATCTTATCACGGTCAGTAAGAGCGACCGCTTGTGTGTGGGAGTGGATAAATGTCAAGATGAAAAGTGCATCAAACTCCAGAGAAAAGACTGGTGACCTGTGTCAGACTCATGTTTGATCACAAGGCTCAGTTCGAGAACTGAATGACCGTTTCTCCTCATGGCCGAAGCAGCCGCTCATGCAGAAGTGAAAGAGAGACATGAATTGACCACTCACTGAAAACAATGAGTGCTGTGTTTACGGGAGGAAGAGGAGCCATTTACACAATTTGTCTGCATGATAGAAACATAAATAGAAGAACAAATGCAAGTGTGTTTTGTTTCCAAGATAGATTTTGATGAGTTAAACCAATTTTCATCTTGATTGAAGACAGTGTCTAACAGACTTGGCAGTCATAAAATGTCATAAATACACATTTAATAATTAAAATATGAAGTTATCTCAAATAGGGCTGCCACAAACGATTATTTTGATAGTCGACTAGTCACCGATTATTTTTGCGATTAGTCGACTAATCAGATCATCATCCATTGGACGTACAGCGTACTGCTTATTGCACCAGCAGCATCTGGTCTTATATAACTATCATTAGCTTACAGCTTGAAGTGTTTGTGCTAACTAAAAATAAAGACAAGATGGTAGTTTATTAATTTTTAATGAAATTTGCAGATTGTTTCGGTGAAGTTTAATAAACTCCTTGCTTTCTAAAATATAACAGGACACCGGAGTATATTCTCCAGCGTCTCACACTTCTGATAATCAGCTGTCTGCTTGACAGTTTTAGCTGTGCAAAAACTATAACTTTAATCTCAGCCAAACCGATTTACAAATAAAATACTAAAGAAAGCCAAACAATAACATTTTTAAGTTATCTAAGTGACTTATATATATGTTTAACCTGACTAGCGACAGACGGCGGTGGGTTTGAAAACAATTTGCCGGGAGTCCGGTGTTCTCACGGCTCTAGTTAGCCTTGCCCCCGCCTAGCTAACGAGCTAGTGGGTAACAGACGTCTCCGAAAACGTCGGAGCGCTTTTGAAAATATGTGGTGTCTTGATAAACTGAGCAGATATTTGAGGTTTACACAGCTACATTCTCGCCTGAAAATATGTTAAACGTTTATTTTGTGACCCAGAAAGAATAATAAGAGTAAAGTTAAAACTAACTAGCTGCCGCCATTGTTGACTGCTGCGCTGGGCTGCGCTATGAATTCTGGGACACAGCTTCTTCTTCTTCGGGGTTTAACGGCAGCTGGCATCCTTGTACATGCAGTGCTGCCATCTTCTGTTTCAGTCCGTTATTACACTCTTAAATCCTACTACTCATTCCTGCGTCCTTTGTGATCTTACAAAGCTTCAAACGATGCGTCGACTATTAAATTAGTCGTCGACGATTTTAATAGTCGACATAATCGTGACTAGTCGACTAATCGTGGCAGCCCTAATCTCAAATGTGTTTTTGATGGATCTTCAGTGTTAGCTAGGATTTCCAGATCACATGACTCTGTCCCACTCAACCCCCACCAAACACACACAATTAGATAATGCAGTGGAACCGCATCATTAAATCATTGTTTGTCATTTACTTTCATGCTGAGTTTATATGTACAAAAAATGGTAACAGCAGGACAGTTAGATGAGCTGATGTAACAGTTGTGGCTTCTGTTAAATGCAAGAGTACCCAGTGCTTAGGCTGGGGATCAGTTTTGGCCCAGCAGGCTGGAAGGGCTGCAGTACACTCGTGGAAAATCTCACAGAAACCTCCATCTTTGGAAAAGGAAAGATCAAACTGTAAAGCACCTTTTCGGGTTTTCTCCATTTAATTATTAAATGGTAAAAGGACTGGCTTATGTATCGCATTTTTACTCCAAGTGAGAACTCAAAGCAGTGCTTTATACTATGCCTGTCAGCGTGTTCTAACGATCACACTCATACACACACTGATGGATGGATCAGGGTAATTTGTGCTTCAGTATCTTTCCCAAGAAACACTTTGACATGCAGACTGGAGGAGCTGGGGATCAGTCTAGTATGAAACAGTTAAAATATCCAGCGTACAAGCGCCGGACATTAAATTGATGCTGCTTTGCTGATTAAAGTGGTATATCCCATGATATTGATGTTCAAAGTTCATTATTTAAAGAAAAAAAGTAATAAAAAGGTAAGATTTTGACTTTAGATTGTGACACTTTGAGTGGGTGTAAATTATTTACAGATTTTTAACAGAGCTTAAGCTTGTGTTTTTCCATCACTGAAAATTTAATGTGCGTAGCTCACGTAGGAATTCTAAAGGATCAAAAGACTGGGAAAAGTTAGGTGACTTAAAATGCCAGATTTCACCCCACCACCATGGACTTACTTTGTATGACTTCACTGGATAGTTGTTAAAGTTACCGTACCAAGAAAACCAGCTGATTCTGATGGGGTCGTGGGGTTCCACAGCCAGTTGTCTAATTCTCAGAACAAGATTATTCATCTTCTTATTGTATTAATATGCACATTTGGACTTTTGTTGTGCATTTCATCACAAGTTTGGTCTTAAATTACCCCCTAACCTGTAGACATCTGGTAAATACACAGTATGTGACAGTAAATATAATTGATTGATTGCATTTTCTTAATTAAAATCTGGATGATTCATTGATAAAATGGAAAAACTCATATATAACTCTATATATATGAGTTTTATTAAATTGTACCTGTATCCATGTATTTATGCATGCAGAGCGTCGGATTCAAGCCTTTTTTTATTTCCCCACAGTAAGACTGTGATTGTCTGTGATGGCGTGGTGACCTGTCCAGGGGGGTTCAGTGTTTTTCCTCTCAATCCATACTTGGATACTTTCCAAGTACCTTCTGTGCTGAATACAAATAAGCCGTGAATGAATATTTTATGCATATTTAAATTCCACATGGGTCTTTATGTCCAAAAGGGTCAAATATAAAAGCCAAACTCGACTGAGATCCAGTCAGCTAAAAGAAAAGTTGGCTCCTAAACACTTTAGTGGTGTCTCACAGCTCATTTTGATGAGAAGGTAAATGCTAATGGCTAAATATCCCAAAATATTGACAGTGGCATAAAGCATCTGAAACGGATTAATGTTATTTGTATTGACAGTGATGTGCATTTCTCAGTTTTCTTAACTCCCACATTGTTTTCAGGGTCAAAGGGTGACTGAGCCTGTTGAAGTCCATGAGAGGGATCGTGTAATGTATGTGGCCTTAGATCATGGCCTATAACTAAACATTCAAATGTCTGATAAACAGGTTCACTAGAAAAATTCACACAACGTTCTAATTGCTCATCAAACACTCTGCTCTGTGGATTTAGTACAGCTGAAGATATTTGGCTTATTATTCAGACCTTATTTGACTCATATTTGGACTGTGGGAGTCTGTCTGCTTTAATTCTTTATTAGTTTCATTTTTTTGCCAGCCTGTTGCTGAGTTATTAGAGAGTTTAGTGTTGAGCATTTGGGACAAGCATCATCTGCATCTCGTGCATCCATACGTTGCTCATTTGCCCAGAAGTTCTGTTTGCCTTTGTTTACATTGTGTGTGTAATAATAGGCCTATTATATTTATGCAAATTTTTGTTTTCTGCTTAAAACAACAGATGGTCTCTGTGGTTCTTCAAGAATGACAAGAGCAAAACATGGCAGGCCAACCTGCGACTCATCTCTAAATTTGACACAGTTGAAGATTTCTGGGCGTAAGGAACGATAAATGTCTGGGATTCTTCTGTGCTCTCACTGAGAAACAAGCTGTGAGATACCCTGACTATATAATATGTTGTGAAATATGATTTTATTAATGCTTTTCTGTCTTTATTTCAGTCTCTACAACCATATCCAGTTGTCAAGCAACCTAATGTCAGGCTGTGATTACTCGCTTTTCAAGGTATGTTTGATTCGTTTACCTTTTCTGGACAAAAGCAGTGAGTGTTGACTTTAAATGCACATACATTTAATTAAATTGGGGTTTTTAGTGACCTTTGCTTGTCAGTGTCTTCTTTAACAGTCTGTATTTTAAGTAAAAGTCTTCAAATATTCTCAAAGTTACATGTAAAAAAAACTACATAGCATCTTTTTAAGCTGGTAAATGTCTTTACATAGATATGAGATATGGCATTTGTGCTAGTTTTAGTTGTTTTGAGATACTAAATAAGCAAATAAAAGGCCTGAGGCCTCTTCCACGTTTGAAGTACAGGAATAGAGATCAGTTAAATGTTTTAAACTGATATCCTATTATTATTTTAGACATTGTAAAACAATATCAGTTACTCCTGTACTGAAGTTGACTGCTTTGAGGGTCTGTCCCACAGCCCACATCATACCCCTCAAGGCAGTGGTAGTCCAAACACTGAACAGAAACAAATAAAGCTTCTGCAAACAGAACAATGCCTGACTGAACTGCCAAGACAAGAGTTCCAGTAAAAACAGCAGCATCATTGCTGGAGGGAAGGGAAACAAGAAAAAGCCAGCTCACAGCCAGGAGAGAGAGGATGAGTTAAAGTGGAAAAAGAGTACTGGACTCAAGCCTTTATGTAGGATCACACCAGTGATTATCAGTCATCATCTGTACAAATTTACATTAAGGAAATCTTCTGGGAAATAAAAACCTATCTGGAAATAGGTTGAAGGTGAATCTTTAAGAAAAAGGTGTTTCAGCACTCGCTGTATACACGCTGACTTTTGATATATTTTCGTTTTTCCGTCGCAAACATATAATGCCTAACTGTGGGACAGATACATTGCTTGCAGGCAACGTTGAAACCTCGTTCTTAGAGGCTGCTCGGGATGTGTGCTGACAATTTGAACTATTGCTGCAGGATGGCATTGAACCCATGTGGGAGGATGAGAGGAACAAGCGTGGCGGGCGCTGGCTAGTTACACTCACCAAGCAGCAGAGGAGATTAGACCTGGACCGCTACTGGCTGGAAACTGTAGGTTTGACTGTGCTTGTGCTCTTCATCCCATTGCTTAAACCAGTGACAATAATAATCATTTCTCTAACCTCTCCCCAAAGCAGTACATTTATTACATGCTGGCAGCCATAATTAGTTACACCATGTTATCATTACACTTGTTGCCTGCAGAAAGGGGTGATTACAACTAAGCGTATCTTTCAGAGCTGAACCGAGCCGCAGCTCAGATTGATTTCATGTTCTTGGCAGCAAATGTGCGATTGCTGTGAGTGCGTGTTGAGCTGCAGGTTTGAGATCACAACCTGGTCAAATGAGAGCAATTGAAAATTGGTTTGCTTGCTTGGTGCTAACAGCGAGCGATGCTCAGCACAGATGCAGGAAAGAAAAGAAAAACATTTTCACAAGCTGTAAAAAATATCACCGGGATGTTGGAACACTTATACTGTGTTGAATTAATACATATGGCCACCTGGGGCAGCAGTGAGCGCTACAATCAGCCAACCAATCAGCAAGTTACCAAATATTTCTAGGCAGGTTTTTAAATGCGATAACTGAGAACAAGGTGACATATAGTCTTAAAATTCATACAATAGATGCAACTACTAAAATGTTGGTGAATTTGAATCTCAGTGATGTCGACCTGGAGGTTGAGGTGACTAAGATTCAAATCTCAAGGTCAACATCAGAGATCGTTTTCAGATAATCTTGTGACTTCAATAACTTAAGAAGGGCGTCGCCTAGGTGTAAAAGTTCACGAGTTTAAATCTCAACGAGAACCAGGCA